TTTTTTTTTTTTTTTTTTTTTAAGTTTAGTCGTGTTTTTTTGCGCTTGAACCATAGATCGTAGCTTTGTTTTGAATCGAAAAGTAGATTATACACGTATATTTTTTTTAGATCTGGTTGTGTTTTTATAAAGATCGTTTTAGTTTTGTTTTGTTCACTTTGAATCGAAATTTGATACGATTTTTTTTTTTTTTTTTTTTAGCTTTCTTGTTGCTGTTCATTTATACTGCGTATACAGTCGAGCTAATTCTATAACACGATTAATCCGCACGGTTATCCGTGTTGTATTGAAATCGCGAAGCGAAACTAAAACTAATTTAATTCGAACGAACGTGTTGAAAATGTCAACAAAAATAGATAGATTCGCGCTATATGATGGTTATTGTAATTTAATTTTTTGTGTACGCATTGGTACAGTTTAATTCGTGCAATTGATTCTATTTTATTAATGTGATTTAATTTTGATCTAATTATTAAAAAAGTATCATTTTTCATAGATAATATTGCATGGAAATTTGTTTCTACAAAGTGCGTTCGTACTTGTCCAAGTGGATTGAAACAAAACAATAAAAGGAAAGCATTTGTATGCGACACCATTATTGTAAGAACATTGTAAAACACAGGCAGCGTTTCTTGCAGATGCGCATTATCGATTTTCAGTTAAGTAAATGGAATGTCTAGTTGCATCAGGTGCGGAGAAAACCGCAACTGAAAAAAGTATCGAAAATAACGCGACACTTGGAATTTCAATAACTTGCAAAATTCCACAAAATCTATTCTAAGACTTTTTAAAAATTTTCAATTTTCAATTTAAAATTTAAAGAAGAACATTTTTTTTTTTTTTTTTATATATTCCAACGAAAAAAATATCGAGAAAGATACTATAGTATTATTCACAGCTATATTCTTCGTACGTTGGAGAAGAAACTATAGAAGATTGATGGACAGTGACTCACTCGGTATGCCGTTGAAGCGATTGGTGAGGTATCACGTGTTGCTGATGAACGTGTTGTTGTCCCCGCCTCAGGCCAGAGCAGGAAACTTCCGGTAGCGTAGCTATCCTACTTTCGTCGCTTCTGTCGCGGATCCCAGTCGCTTTCGAGGGCATTGTCGTCCGGGAAAGCGATTGGTTCCTTTGTTGCTGGTGATGCTGGGGCGTCTGGTGGAGATAAACCGCGGATTGCCGCATCTGTGCCGCGTATCTGCGCCCAACACACGTGTCATTGAAATGACGAAAAAAATAAAAAAAAGTCGCGAGAAGAATATTTTTTATATATTATTTTTTATAGATTATTATTATTAGAATATTTTTTACATATTATTCACAAACTTGGCGGGAATCGATCGGGAATTAAAATTAAATTAAAATGGTCGAAATGATGTGAATTTTTTTTTTCTTTTTTTTTTCTTCTAATTGAAAAAAAAATGGCGCAATTAAAAATTATCCAGAGATTTATTACCTTTCCTCGGAATAAAAGTATCCATCGTTCGCTGCGTCCGACGGAGTGACTATGTCTAAACTCGATTTAGGCCTCTGTGGACGCCTCTGTTGATTCACC